GGGGGGGAGTAGTGTGCACATTCTGTGTGTTTACAAACATACTGTACATACAGTACAGTACTATAGTTGGGAGGTGCCCCTGCCTTACCCCACACAGGCACAGCCCACTGGCACTGGAGATGAGGCAGGCAAGGAGGCTGAAGGTGCTGTAGGCTAGGAGAAGCACCTTGTGCAGCAGCGGCAGCTTCCCTTACTCTGCAAGCACCAGGGGCGGGGGCGGGCGGGCTCAACCCTCAGCCCGCCTACTCCCCTCCTTCTCCCAAGCCCCCACCCTTGACCTGCCTCTTCTCCCCGCCACCTCCTCCTCTTTTACTTCCCACGCTGCGTCCTCGCTCCTCCCCCCTTCCTCCCCTCCCTTCTAAATGCTGCAAATCAGCTGGCTTGCAGTGTTTAGGGGGCAGGAGGGAGGGGGGAGGAGCGAGGACTTGGCCCGCAGGCTCCCCCCCCCCTCCCCCCCGCCTCCTGCCCAGGGCAATCAGCTGCTTTGCGGTGTTGGGAAGGCAGGGTAAGGAGGGGGAGCCTGTGCACCGAGTCTTCGCTCCTTCCCCCGAAATGCTGCAAGCCAGCTGATTGCCGTGGGCAGGAGGGGGGAGGAGGAGGGGGAAGGCACTGATCCCCGGGGTCTGCCGGCGAGTGGGAGGCGCTATGGGGAGGAGGGGGCCTAGGGAGGCTGCTAACTGTGGAGAAAGCAAGCAGCCAAACAACGTAAGAGTGGAACATTGCACAACTTTAAATGAGCATGTTCCCTAATTGATCAGTAATGAAACAACGTTAACCGGGATGACTTAAAGTGAGGAGTTACTGTATAATTTTTATAGCTACTCTTTCTAGCCCACAATTTGTGGTCTTTCTAAAGTAGCCCTAGGAATATGAAGTGGGAGAAGGTCTGATCTTTTGCACACTGCACAGGGAATGTTACATTGATTTTTTTACAGTCCTGAATCAGCCTAAGACCTCCAGTAGTGGACACAATTTGCAGCACATTAGGCACTAATTACCTTGTGACTTAGTTGGGGGGAATATGGACAAGAAGGATTCAGCAGTCATCTTTTCTGAGCTGCCTGTCTACTTTGATGCTGATGATTGTTTCATGCCACATGCCAGCCACATGAAAGGCCTTTGCACACAAATGTTCACAATCATTTGATAGATTGACAAGCAGTGGGAGCATACGAAGTAAATCCTTTTAGTCACCAAGTTAATTACTCAAAAGGAGCCAATGCAAATGAAAAAGTCAAAAGAAATTAAAAGATGTGGAAAATAGTCTTTATGTTCATACATAGGTTGCAACGATAGATGCTGTTTTCCTTTTAATTTAGCACATTGCATATGGCATAAGTCAAGGTAAAGGAGAACATTGTATCTTTAATACAAGCAGTGCAAAAGATTTTCCTTATAAAGATTTTCACAAGTAGGGGAAATCACAACCATGACCTCCCTGTATTTTTCTAGGACATCAGTCAATATGGTTGTGTGAACAAATGAGTGTTCAGATTAGATGAAGTTCATCTCTCTTCAGAGGGCCAGAAGAGGTCATATGCATCACTTAAGTTTCATTTAATTCTATTAGATGACTTGTGCTGGCCCTCTGCACTGGGGTCCATTTAGCTAATTGGAAAGGGAAAGAGGGATAGATGTTTATGTTGCCAATTACAATTAAGGGTTGGGGGAAAATAAATTGGCCCACCCTAGCATTTCATATTCCAACTTGGGCATTGGTCAAAGTAAGTTTTTCCTAAAATGTGTGGCCTAGGCAGTATCAGTTCCTTTCATCTTTGTCTCACACCAGCTAGTTAATTTCTGTGGATACGAATAAAGGAGAAAGACACTCAGACAGCAGAGGGTATGCAATCAAATGATCCAGTGATTCAGAGTTTCTGACAAAAGCTAATCAACCCTAGGTGAAGCGGGTATTTTCCTGCTGTTGTCTTCCTTACAAATTCCAGATTGTCCGGAACCACAGTAACGCGTGGCTGTAATATTGTTGCTGGTTTTTCATGGCCACTCAACTGCCTAGTGACGGGCCCATGTCATATGTCTGGTGTACCCATTTTAACAGTCTCACTTAAAGCATCCCCATCGCTGTCAAAATGAAGAAAAGTACTTAATGTTTCCATACTCCTGAAATTGTCTCCAGAGAAGTGACAGGTTTAAGGGGGAAGTGCTGTTATCTGAATCAAATTCCAGTGCTGATAACTCTCGTTACTTAATCGCGATGAGACTCCTGCTGTTTCTTCACAAGTTTTTATTTCCATAATGTCAGTGTTTGTGCTTAAAATAAAAATCTTGTTTTGCTGTTTCCCTCATGGCAGCTGCCTTTCAGTTAGCATTATACAGCAACTATTAAGCAATAGAAATCCACAGGAATAGAAGATGTCTGAATTCCATAGATGTAGGGGCTCTCTAAATCGATTCACTGCTGTCTTGTTTGTTCTGCAGCCAGAGACTGAAGCAAGATAGCACCAAAAGTGATGTTGAACTTTCCACATTCATCTTAATGGGTTATTAACTTGAAAGCCCAGTTTTGAGCATTTAAATGCGACATAGCTTCAAGAGCTTTTCTTGTAGGAGCCTTGTGAATAGGGCCAAGGGAAAAAAAAAACATAGGAAAGATAAAATTGTGAAGGTTGCGGTTTTGATGACAGAGCAGCTTGATTGCCCTGCTGCTTGCTATCTGCATTGGCAGTAATTCTGACATCAAATGTCTTACCTATACATACAGCCATATATGGCAAAAGATGCGAACACATCTTTATAACCATTGGCCAGGAAAACAGTATGACATTCTTTGGTTTTAAAGAAATATTAAAGGTACCTAGAGCCTGAACTAGGCATGTATTTTAGATGTAGGTGCAAATCAAAATAAATTAAAATTTTAAATTTAAAATATAGGAAAGATGTTGCAATTTCTTAATAGAGGAAAAAAGTGGTACCTCACATGCCACGTAATATTTGGCAAATGTTGATTTTTTTCTTACTGGTAGCCTCCATATTTTACTTTAAACATTCAAACCAGATAGGTTTACTCAAAAATGCAGTTAAAATATGTTGTTGATGCAGTATATGTAATTTTAATTCTGCTTCTTCGTGGCGGAAATGAGCATGTCTGATATCACTGCTCTTCTTAAATTAGCAAGGAAGCTGTCTGACATCCAAAGAGCATGAGCTAGTCATAATAGAAGATTTCATTGCAATGTATCCTATTTTGGTTTGTTGCTTAGGCTGATCCTTTTTACTGTGTATATCTTTGTCAAAGCTGAAATCTTCCCAAAGAATCAATGGGAAAATAATGGCTTCGTTTCAGTATTGATAATTTCTCCCTTTTTTCCCTTCCTTTTTCCAGAGGTGGTTCAACTCACGCTTTCGGAGGAACAGAAGATTAGCGTTACCACAGTAACAGTTGGACTGAGCGCTGTATTGACCTGTGCCATCCATGGAACTCTTAAGCCCCCAATTATCTGGAAACGCAATGGAATCATACTGAACTTCTTAGATTTGGAAGATATCAACGTAAGTTTTGAATTGTGATTTGAATTTGCTTTCTAGTGGATTGTGTATGACTGTTCATTTAAAAGATGATACCTTTAAGTGATCTGTTTTATTATAATTGAATATTGGAAGATGGATATTTTGTTTCAATATGGACTATGACTAGGGAGGAAAAGGAAACTGAGTCAGACAAAGTAAACAGCTGGAGCATAGGTAACGTAGTACAATAACACCTACCATCAACATTTCATCCCCCATGGTTCATGACAGTCCAGTGAGACCGAGGGCCCATGGGTGCCAACCCTAAAAATCATGGGCAAACTGGCTACATAAGCCATGAATCTCCCAGCCATCTTATTCCCAGTGAGAAGAAACATATTTATCTATCATGAGAAACCACAAGTCTGTAGTTGACTGAAATTTCTCCTATACATCCAGTAAAATAATATACATTTTACCCCCTTTTCTCCCACTCTCCACTTATATTTTGGGATGATCAGGGCTAAATCTTTCATGAGCTACTGGTTGGTTGTTGGGAAGTTTGAAGTTTCAGCTCATTCTATAGGGCATGACAGTGCCCATCCAGGAAGGAACCTGTGTATCTATTAACTCATCCTACTGCCCTATGTTGATGCCTAATTATGAATACGTGAGCTAGCTGCTTTCTTTCTTTGTGCTTTTTTACATTAACTTGGCGAGTTATAGACTATATTAAAGAAAATACTTGAATAATGTTAAAAGCTTATTCATATAATTAATAACATTTCATTTTAGAGAGGGTGGGAAATAGTGTACAGAAAATATGGTGCCTATTTCTTTTCTTTCAGCATTAAAATATGCAGTAAATCAGGTTTATTTTAATTACAGAACAATATTAGTTGATTTACATTTTTTTCAGCTCTTGTTAATTCTAATATTTATTAATTTAGGTTAAGAGCTGATACATACAGTATTATATCCCACTAAATTGTTGTGGAATCTGGATTGCTGAAATGTAGAGAAGCCATTGTTTTACTGTCTGCATTAAAAAATGAAAACTACAAAGTACGGGATATAAGTGAACACTGCACCTTGGTATTGCATTTTTCTTTGCCACTGTACGAAAATTTTGTGTGTGTGCATGCGTGCACCTGTGTCCTCGATGCAGGGAATCTGTATGCCTAAAAACTATTTTATTGCAAGCACAAATTGGCTATGTTCACCTTTCTAAACATTCTGTTCTTTCCATCAAAGCAAATGCTACCCTTTTCAAGTGTAATTCTTGTTGCCATCTGGAACATGACATTGAAATGCAACTTGAAACCAGCAACATATTGCTATAATATTAACATAGGAATGTAGAGAAACTTTAATGAAGACAGGCAGGGTAGCAAAGCTAGCCAGAAGCCAGTATACCTGACCTGATTTCTTATAAATATCCTTCCACGGTATGATGTGAATAACCACTTTTGGGTCATTGGCAGTACAATTGCATGGAATCTTGCCAACATACTAAGTGCAGGATTGTGGCTTTCAAAATTATAGCAGGAAAGTGACATGACATAAAATGCATTGTGTGGTTTTGTTAATAAATAACTATGTGTTTACTATTTGGTACAGATATTCTTCTGGAATTAGACTCTTTCTGGTCCAGACTAGGTTTGTTATTTGTAGGTGGTGAAGGCTGCATATCTCACCAAAATGTTTAGTTTAGCTAATCATAAGTCAGTCAGCGTCATGTTAATCAGGAGTCCAGGAAGAGACTTTTTTGGCTATAATTTTCACTAGATATGGTCTGAGAAGACTGTTTTAGTATCCTGCTCTGGATTAGGTTTAAGCCAGGATTTGGTGGTCAAGCTCAAGGTTAAAGTAGGGCTAGGGTTCAGGTTTAACTGTTTTGAATCTTCACACTCAAAAGTAGGTTTTTACAAGATTTCAGCTAAAAATAGGGGAAATCCATGAGATCAGGTGTTCTTAGGAGATACTGTCCACATCCACACTGGAGGCCCCTTTTGTGACCTGGAACCTAAACCAAAGTCCAGGAATTTAAATTCCAACATACTTTTAAATAGGGTTACCATCCGTCCGTATTTCCCTGGACATGTCCGGCTTTTGCATCTCTAAATAGCCGTCCGGGAGGAATTGGTAACAAGGTTAAAATGTCCGGGGGGGTTTTCTCCCTCGCCTCCCTCCCTCCCTTCCATGCAGAGTGCGACTGCTGATTGGGCGGCTGAGCCGATTGAGCCGCTCCAATTAGTCTCCAACAGCCAGAGCCCTCCCCTGCTTCCCCCTCCCTCTGTCTGCAGCCCTGTGTAACACACAAACCGACTCACCGGGCAGCGTGTTTTGCCTACACGTGGAGCCAGAATGGTAAGGAGAGTCCGGAGGGGGGGGCAGTCAGGGAGTGGGGGAGGGTTGGATGGGTCCCCAGCCTCCACCTGCCACCCCCCCACGCTTCCCCCCCCGTGGGGCCTCCCCTCCCTGCCTGCCTCTCCCTTGCCTGCTTGTACTGCCAGAGCCAGCAGCAACTGCTGTCTGCTGCCCCCGGGTCCTAGCATCCCCCATCCACTAATGGGAAGACAGGCTGCTCTTATCCTGCCCTTCCACCCTAGCCCTGAGCCTCTCCAACGCCCCAAACCCCTCAGCCCCAGCCCTCATCCCCCCACACCCTAATCCTCTGCTCCATCCCTGAGCGCCCTCCTGCATCATGAACCCCTCATCCTCAGACCCACAGCCCTCACCTCTGCATCCCCTCCTATTCCCAAACCCCCTCCCCCCTTCCCACACACCCCCTCCTGCCCTCAAACTGCCTCCCAAAGCCTGCACCCCCTCCCTTTGCACCGGCTCCCACTCCCAAACTCCATCCCAGAGCCTGCACCCCTCGCCCCCTCCTGCACACCCACCCCCTGCCCCAGCCCGCAGCCTGCACCCAGCACCCAAACTCTATCCCAGAGCCTGCACCCTGCACCTCTCCTGCACCCCAATCCCCAGCCCAGGACCTGCACCCCAGACTTCCTCCCCTCACCCAACCCCCCTCCCAGAGCCTTAGGCAGGTGTGGGGGGGTGGGTTCTGGACACCACCAAAATTTCTACAACCCTGCCACCCATGCGAGTGGATAAGGGTCGGGGCAGTCAGAGGACAGATAGGGTCCTGGGGGAGCAGTTAGGGTGGGGAGTTCTCAGCAGGGGGCAGTCAGGGGACAAGAAGCAGGGGGGGTTGGGGTTCTGAGGGTAGCAGTCAGGGGGTGGGAAGTGGGAGGGAGTGGATGGGGCGGGGCTAGGGCGGGGCTTCCCCCCCCCCAGTGGCCTCTTTTTTGATTGTGGAAATATGGTAACCCTATTTTAAACTAGAAGGTGCTTGGTTTGAGGTTTCAGATCATATCTAACTTTTGTTATATTAATTAGAATTTTTAAGAGAAAACTTTCAAAATCAATTACACTTTTATTCCTTTTTAAATCACATAAATTTAGCATTGGAACAAGTGGACTCTGGTTTACATGATTTACAGCTGTGCCTGGTATTGGTTAGTTGATTATAAACAAGACTTGTATTTGAATGTTAAGAGGAAATATGTTCTAATGCATAAATGGAATCATTTCTGCACAGTCTCATCACTCCTTTGACTAATATTCACTTTGGACCTGACCTCAACCAATCATTCACTTTTTAAACCTGTCTCTGCTCTCAGTTATTCATGCTGGCTAGACCTCTTTCTAAGGGGATATCACTGGAAAGTTTATCAAAATGGCACTTGCAAAGACTTACATGGAGGAGAAGCAATATCTGTTTTTCCATTTTAATGTTTCACATTACAGTTTACTGTCTTTTTCATCTTGTCATCTAACACATGGTATTACAGTAAATAGCTTTTGCAGCCATGAAACACCTTGACATCTTTTCCTTTAGCTAATCTCCAAAGACTTTTACTACTACTTACACTCCACAGGCATCTGTATTATTCCTTCTTGTTATTAGTGATGTCACACAGTAGGTTTTGGAATTACGATCTTTCCCCTCCAGCCCTTTATCAAAATAATCTAAAGGACTCTGTGGGTTCACATACATCATCTAGCAGGTGGGGAGAGGCTGTGTGTTTTAAGCATTGCTCAGGAGGAGGAGATTTGAGGGATGAATACAGTGGTTGCCACTAGAAAGTCATCATTTACCCACTAGATACCTCTCAGTAACTATGGTCTAAGTGTAGGGAACATCTGCGGAAACTGACTGCATGTCTCACGCCCTCCCTAAACATCATTAAATCAGCGTCCTCTGAGTAGGGGAATCTCATGTCCATACAATTGTCTTTCTCAACCCATGCTTCAGGCATGGAACTGGGATGTGAATATATGAAGCAGCAGTGTGTCAGTGCTGCTCAGTTCTGAAAATGAGGCACCAGTCTCTGCAGGTGATTCCAGAATTAAGCATCACTTCCTTACCTCCTCAGTGCCATGGACCAAAAACATGGTATATTGGCATTGACACCACTTTCCAAGGTCATTCCCTTTTGTCAAAATCTCACAACATTGCATTCCATGCAACATGAAGTTGCATTTGAGATGATGATGTTGCATCTTGGTATGTATGCATAGGCATTTCTTGGGTGACTGAGCACACGGGACTGGAAAGGCTAGTAATTTTTGCCATTCAGGTTTGCAATGTGGGTGTCAACTCTGAGATTTGTGCACCATTGCTCCAGTTGGGTATAAGCTACATTAGATAATTTAAAGGTTGACTGTGATGCTTTGCAGTGTCTCTTGTGAGTACTGAAATTCACATTATTCAATGTTCTATTTAAAGGCATTGGGGGAAAGAAAGCAAAGACAGTATGCTTCTTAATATACTTGAAGTCAGTTAATTAAATTACTTCAGTTTTTTTTTTTAGTACGCCTCAAGCAGAAACTCAATTGCATTTCTGCTTTTCACAATAAGGTTAGCAATTTGGCTAATTGGAAGTGCAGCAGGAGATTAATTGTACCTTTTTAACTTCAGGGAAATCCTCCCTGCTTCTGGCACAGTTGCAATCACACACAAACCTACTGGA